ACAACAGTTTTTGAAACTGGTCCAGTATTGAGTGAGACAGCTGCAGCCGGCAGCAGCAGCAAAACAGGCTGCAGTGTAACCACCTGGGGCATATTCGCACCGTCAATGTACGTCCACTAAAAGTGTTTGTTTTTGTCACTGGCAGGCTCAGATTGTTCATATAAGTGTCTGACAACATTATGGAAAGATCCCTACTGAGATAGGCCTTTTTGGTAAAGGGTAGTATCCTTTCTGTTTAACCAGAAACAGCCCTAAAATCGTTATCACCAAACCCACCAGACTCCATTTGAATAAACAGTAATTTTAGCATGTATAGAGTCAGCATATTGTCACATCTAACTGGGTGCATTAAAGGTTTGTTTCAACCAAACCAGAGTTGGTGATTGTTGGAACAGCGGAAAGATGAATCGGGGTGGGTTTTGTGAGTTTTAATTTGTTTCTTTCGACTTTTCGACACTTCTTTCGAAGTGTGTTTTACAATAATAAAATTACTGTTTATTTTAATGGAGTCTGGTGGCTTTTTAGTGATTTCGGGGCTGTTTTTGGTGCAACAAAATGGATCTTACTCTTTACCAAAAATGTTTATATCTGTAGGGTTCCATTCCAGAATGTTGTCAGACACTTGGAATAACTATCTGAGCCTTTCAGTGGCAAAAACAAGCACTTTAAGTAGACGTAAATTGACGGTGAGCATGTACTCTGAGTCGTTGCATTGCGGCCTGTTTCGCTCAATACTGGACTAGTTTAAAAAAGCGTTGTTCCATTAATCACTTGGAGACAAAAACATGGGAACATGGAAAAATGGGGTCCAGGTTGAAAAATACCAAAGTTATCCTGTAATGAATAAACTTAACTTGACGAAAGTTGGTGAAAGTGATGATGATTTTGTCATGAAAATAATGTGTATGTCTTTTAACTGTGGCAAATCTAGCATGGGATGAATGCTTTTGGCAGGTAAGCACTGTCTGAATGTTCATTTCTGTTGATTTGAAATAGGCAGTCGTACCTTAATTAAAGTTGGACTGACTAGTAAGTAATTTTTCATGCAAAAATGCCAAGTATTTTCTGGTTCCAGCTTGTCAGATGAGTATTTGATGTTTTTTGTTTGTCATATATGATAGTAAACTGAACACCTTTGGGTTTGGCGACTGTTGATTGAATAAAACAAGCAACGTAGATACATCTCCTTGGGTTGTGGTGAATTATAACGTGCATTTTTCACCATTTTCGGGCATTTAAATTATTCATTTAATCGAGAAAATGATGCCTGTTAGTTGCAGCCTTGATCTCGGTCTACACCTTTTAAACTCTAAGGCCTATAGGCACTCAGATATAATCAGGTTGTGTAGATTGTCTGACAAGAGAAGAGGATTATCAGCCGAGAGCTTACATTCAGTGCTTCACTGGTTCAGATTATACAATGCTGCTTCACTCCTGTCCTCAGGATGCAGATCAGCTGGTGATGCAAGGCTGCTCAGCCATAACTTTCCATTGGTTTGTATTGTATTCTTTTATGGTGGAAGCTGATGCAGGCGTGTATCAGACATGTTTCTACTGCACTAAATAAGCAAAAAGAGAGGAGTGTCTGAATGTACCAACATAACAACTGACTTCAGCACTTTGGAGACACTCCTGCTGAGCAGTGCCAACAGTATCTTGATATTACTCTTCAACATAAGTTTCCTGAAATCACTCAGGACACAGAGAATTAACCTCATCAGTTGCTGTCAGTGAATCCCGTCCAGTTTTAAGTGACAGTGGGAACTGTCTAACCTTTGAGGTGTCTTACTGGTGATCCAGTTACACTCACTGGTTCCCACAGTCTCCCACCTCACTACATCCTGGTCAGGAATTCCAGTGTGTCGGCTCCAGCTGGGGAGTGTCCGGTTGCCCCTTCAAACAGTGTCTGAGTGGACAGACGCTGATCTTTTATCTGGTTTCACTGCAAACACAATCATTACTACGACACAATTAATTCTGATTGTTGTAATCCAATAAGACTGGACTGCACAGTGAATGTTGACACTGTGCATGACCACTGATTTGCCCTCTTTCACTTCCTGACTGGGACATTTACCCTTTGACCTGTGCCATAATTCATCATGGCCTGTTAACGTGTGAGCCAAGCTTTAACCAACCTTTCTGATCTCTCTGTCTGTCTTTGAGGCCCACCTTGGCAGACAGTGCGAGAGCCCAGTGTCCACTTTCAAAGGCTCATCTCCTTGTGTTGTCTTTAGGGGTTAGATGAACCGTGGGGGCCCGTGGGAGGCATCCACGTGGAACCCCGGCCCATCCACATTCCCACAAGACTCAGCGGGACGGTTTTCCAAACTTTATTAGCACTCTTCACCTCACTCACCTCAGTTCGGCATGTCACTGAAGTTCACGAGGTGGAACATAAAATACTGATTCTACCAGAGTTCCTTCCATTGTACTTTACTCTGTGAGTGTTGTTTGATTACAAGATAAACTGATCTTAAATATATATTTGTTTGTTGCAGCCCCACTGTAAAACAGGGGCGTGTAAACCTGGCTTTATGAGCTCTAAAAAGTTCATACTAAAATAGTCCTGTTATTAATGTGAGAGGGATGTAAGGAAGGAAGTGAGAGCGGAAAAAGGAAAAGGGAAGAGCCTCATCTGTCCGTCCGCGCTCCCTCAGAGGATGAGAGCTGCAGAACAGAGAGGGTCTGGAGGAGCTGGCGGGTGCTTAGCAATGATATATGAGAGCCACGTCCATTACGCTGTCTGGTCTCCATACACACACACACAAACTCACATGCACACACATATGTTGGATCAGATATCCTTTAGACAATGTGAGGCCCCTGTAAGGTTTCTGTATGTGGGACTGATGAGGCTCCACCATGGGAGCTGAGGAGGCCTTTATGGGAAGGAGTGTGTGAGATGCTCTCTCCAATGTGTGTGTGTGTGCATGTATGTGTGTGTGTGTGTGTGTGTGTGTCCATCTCTGTCACAGCTGACAGAAACTCATGTAGTCCTTTTGTGCCTGAAGTGTTACTTGTCCATCAAACACTCCACAGTGAGGCAGTAAGAGACTCATGTGCAGTATGAACGTCATTATATCAGGGGTGTCAAACATACGGCCCGTGGGCCAGAACCGGCCTGCCAAAGGGTTCAATCCGGCCCACTAGATGACTAGACTAAGAGGTGGCAGGTTTCAGGAGCAAGTTAAACAGTACTACTACACTGACAATGAATACTTACTGTGACCATGTTTAAATATATTGAATATTGTGCAAAATATTGTCAATCAGCTGCTTCAGTTCAAAAGAATCTGTATCAGGAAATGTGTGGATACATGCACATGTAATGACAGAGAAGTAGACTGACTGAATTTGGAAAAACGGAGACATACTGTTGAAATTGCACTTATTTTTCTTGAGACATCTCAGGCTGTTCATCTGTTTTGTAAAAGGATGACCGTCTACAGAATGTACTTGTAACTCCTTACAAGTTATTGTGCGATGGTTTTATTGGTCCAGCACATCTGAGATCAAACTGAGCTGTATGTGGCCCATGAACTACAATGAGTTTGACACTCCTTCATTATATCTTAAATAATACTCTTATCTGGCAAAGAACTTTAATCTGGACGAGAGAGTTTCCATGTGTGAGGACAGCAGAGTAATAAACTAGTATTTAGAAGATAATCTGTCTGCCTTGTTGATTGATTAAATTTTGAACTTTACTTTCAGGCTAACTCATTTACATATTTTTCCGTTTATGATTTAGCTCTGTTCTTTTCAAAATTAAATATTTCATACTGATATGAAAATATAGAAATCTGTATTTTACAGGCCCTGTAATTTCTTAATAGTTTTCGACAAGAAGTGTGTAATTTGGTCCCTATTATAGGGAACACAGAGACAATGTTTGGAGACAGTACATGTAATGACACATTCATTTGAGGTTTTAAGAAAGAACAAGGAAATTATTAGTACTTACACAGTTGGGTAAGATTTATAATCAACACTTTTAAGATCTTCTAAAATCTTAATGACCATGGTTGGAAACTTAACTGTCATATTTCTTACATTTCTTGCCAGTTTTTTACAACTCCAACTGAACACTGTCTCCATTTCAGGTTTACAACGAGTTATTTTCATTATTACGTCATTTGCATATTATTGTAATAATTAATAGTTTGGTCTTTGACAGAAAATAAGTTGTCTAAGGTGATACATTTGAATTGCTTCATTCCATCATTTTCCTATTTTAGACAACCAATAATACCAGTTAATTCACATTTGAGGAGCTGAAATCAGTGTATTTTTTGGCATTTTGGCTTAAAAAATGACTCATAATATCCATATTATTTGCAGATTATTTTATTGTTGATTGACAAATTGATAACTCACAACTCATCGTGCCGACTCTACTTTATTTTCCCCTTCAATTAGTAGGCTACCAAGTTACAGACTTCTTTAGAAATCTTCCTATAAATGAGGTCCCACTTCAGGACATGATATTCCCATGGACCATCAAAGAAAGTGTCACCAGAAAAAGTATAGACCCCTCTTATAATTTAAAATTAGTGTCATGTATCAGTCAGTCTGGATTTCTTTTTTTTTGTTCTTTCTTTTCTTTCCTTCTTCTTTGTTTTTTTAACAAGTGTGTTTATTGGAATTTTAATATACTTCAAATATCACATCAAAGACAACAACAAAAAAAAACAGTAAGATACGCAAAAGAGCATTCACAGTAAGGCATCGTCTTAATATCAACTGCTACAACAGGGCAATGCAATGAGTACTTTTCCAAGGTTCAAAATAAATAATCAGAAATTCCTATACAAGTATAAAGGAATGAAAGAGGAAAGAAAATGGGCATTGAGGAAAGACAAGTAGACTTCTGTAGCCTTCACCCCCTCTAGAAATTTCTTAAAATGTTCTACCCTTAATCATAAAATGTATTTTTTCAAGGGTATCAGTCTGGATTTCTAATAATAATTTAATACATTTCTCTGTCTTTCCTTCAGACTGCCAGTCGTCTGTGGCTCTGCAGGTCCTGACCGCCCGCTGCCAGGGAAAGAAAAGCTGCCTGGTCCGAGCCTCCACCAGAGACTTTGGGGATCCGTGTTACTCCGGCACCAGGAAGTACCTCAGTGTCATCTACACCTGTGGTGAGTCCCCGTAGGCCTTCACTGAGGGCTGCATTTTCTCACCACCAGGGGGCAATGTTCACCCACTGATCAGCTTTGCTTCAGTCTTGTCTGTGAGGTTTTAGCTCTGTGTTTCACAGTTAGCAGCTCTGAAATGGGCTCTGATATACTCAGAGAAGAATTATGTCTTTTCGGATGATGATACTGGACGCACACTTATATGGACAATAAAGGGCGTATTGGTTCTGCTTTTTCTAGGTGCTACTCCATGAATGGTACCTTCAGTGGCAATGTGTTCTGACTACTGTCATAATTAATTTGAAGTACTTTTCTCTCTAGTACTTTTACTTCAAGGATTTCATCAAGGCGTCAAGTGTAATCATCACTTTTTAGACTTTAAATGGTTTCTATAAGAACGCAGTGTTTGTTTTTGGAGCTCAAACATGAAGTCCAAAGTTTCTAAACCTATTTTCCACGTTCAAGTCACACCTCCGAACTTCTGCCCTTTGGCTCTGTGTCTTCTGTTTTGACTTTTTGTCTGCACAGATGAGGGAAAATGATGGTCTTCCTTTTTATCTGTTCTCCACCCCTGGGCTAATCCTGACCTGTCAAGGCTGTAATTCATTAAAGGCACACTCAGACACACACACGTTATCCAGACGCCTCCAGCACCAGAAACTGATCAATCAGCAACGTGGCCTGGAGCCTCTCATACGCACTGAAATCTCTGACACATGGACATCTTGCATTTTACTGAGTTCTGATTTTAAGGCTTTTATAACATCTGTGTCTATCCCCACTGGGCCTGAAAATCACTGTGTGCTTTAAAGGACTGTTCATTAATCAACACTTTTTCCACTGTCTCTCTTCAGGTCTTGAGTTTGCACATGAGCTCAGTTATAATTCTAAAGTTCTGATAACACTTTATGGCTTGTTCGTGGTCTCGTTTTGAAGATCCACCACCCTGAATCTCGTGTTTGTCAGATTGCCGTCCAAGAATCCATCCATCCTTTATCTCAGCAACAACCGGTCAGCGCCAACAAGAACACACAGACCGTTTCAGCTGTGTTTATAGAGTCGTTTGGCTCCGACTGACCTCCCTTATCTGTCACTGATAACACAACATACTCTCCTAACATCTCTGGCTCAGTAAACGTGTGAGGTATGCAGGGGATGGTGTAAATGTTCAACAGCGTGCTGCGAGGGGGCGAGAGATGTGTTTTCTGGGGCTGCGGCGGGAGTGGAGAGGGTTGAACGTGAGTAAATCAGTCTAGCCACTGCAGACATGAAGTCACTGGTTGCTCCAGGCTCCAGCAAAGGGGTAATTTCGGGGGATCCTCTTTCATTGGTGGTCGAGTGTGTGTAGGATTGACCCCATTTGAGTCGGAGTTAGGGGACGGAGGATGTCTGTCTGCACATGATTGGTTGCGTTTGTGTGTGTGTGGGGGGGTCTGCGCAATGTTTTTGTGCCAACTGAATAAAGTGGAACTTGCACAAAGGGATTGATAGCACAAGATTAATGGACTTGTTTGTCTTTTAGAGTTATTTTAGAGTATGATTTTAAGGAACTTTGAGTGTGTGTAAGTGTTTGTGTGTGTGATTAATTGGGTAGCATGGGCCACGCTGCCTGAAGGACGTGTTAACCCATTTAAAATCTTTACTGTTCTTGCCCAAGTGCTATTTTAGAGGCTTTTGCAGCCTGCCAAGAAATACGTAGCGTTTTATGTGTGCGTAAGTGTGTAGCTAGGTTGGTGTTTGGGTGTACAGTACAGCACACACACATGCAGCAGGCACAAGTACTTGTTTAATTCGCATCATGGACTCGCTATCGGCCCCGGCTTGCCTGTGATTTATAAAGCCATCAACCCTCCAAGCTCCAGCTTCTTCCTCACACAGCCCCAGGGGTGGACTTGCTCCTGAGCAATAACACAGCAGCAAATGGCCCGGAACCTGCCATCAGTCTCCCGGCAGATCACACACACTCCGCACTGTCAGGCTTCATTTACATCTACTCCCCCTGGAGGAAGTCCCTACGGTTTGTTTGTTTGTCAGAAAAAAGGACTTGAGCCAGGAGTCTGATCACAGCTTTAAATATTTGACATCTTTAACAAGATGAAGTAAAAAAATACATTTGAAGTAATGAGGTCTGTCTAGGAAATTATTTATAGCCTAAAGTTGGGAATATTTACCCTCAGTGTGACTGGTGGAGATTGATGAATGAGCCTGCTTGGGGCATTTTCTTCAAAGTATGGCCACTTTGAAGTTTCTTCCTTGTAATGTGTTGGTAACTTTGTCAGGGTTTGACCTACGACTTGTGAAGCTGCAGGGATGAGAACATATGCATCTGTGTGTTTGATAAAAAACTCCAGTTCTGGCTCTTGTTGAACGCATCCTGTACAGTAAGCGTGTCTTTTCGGTTATGTGTCGGAAGGGTCCTATTTATTCAGCTTGCTCCGCTAGACCTTGAGCTCTGTCCTGCAGCCCCTCAGCATCATCCTTCCTCTGCCGTGTGAGTGAAGAGACGCAGCCTGAGGGCATCCTGCTTCTCTGTGTGTATCTTTGTCCCATAAAGCACAGCGATAACTTTAAACTTCATTTAACAAAATGTGATTTATGGATGTCCACGCTGATCAAATCATATCCAGAAGAATCTTTCTTTCCTTCCCCTCCTCCTTCCTGTGTCAGTCCCAAACACAGGCCTCCCTACACACAGCGCAGCTCCTTTCCTCCCCCGAGAGGTATTAAAGCTTCAGACTTTATATCAAGGCCTCTCTCCTAAACTTCCCTCCAAGGCTTCCCCTCGAGTGTTCACTGCGGTGTAATGGATCACCCTGAACAAGCCACACAGCCTCTTTTGAACCACGCAGAGCAGCAGACTTTCAGGGGGGATAAAAGGTTATGTAAAGCCTAATGAACAGGTCTAATTTCTGAAGAGGAAATGGATTAATTGCGGCACTTAGCTGGTTAACTTGGGGTCTGGTTTGGGGAAGGAGGGGGCTCGGTGGAACAGGCAACTCAGGCATTTCCAACCCCGGGGTTGAAACCTCAAAGTGGAAATAGAATCTCTGCAAAAACTCCTAATGAAAGTATAATGAGTCCATTAATATACTATATGTGTTTTCAAATATGGTGCTAAAGCCAGTCTGGCTTGTGGAGCGGATGCAAAAACAAAGCTGTGCAGCTTTTCTGCTGAGCTAATTTTCCACTAACTGCTGGAACTGTTACTGTTTATCAAATATAACAGCTGTTTTGACAAAACAGTCTCACCTCAAGGTCCATTCAGAAGCTGCTCTGGAGCTTGTGATCATATCACACAGTCTTTATCAGCAGATGGATTTTACTGACTTGTCATGAAAACATAGATAATTGGCAAGAGATTGCCAAAGAAATGAGGAACATATTTAGAATAGAAGTTGATTTTTCTTTTGTCACATTGAACTTGGGCAAAACCCCAGACAATCTCATGACCCAGGATAAATACCTATACCAAGTACTTTTGGTATTTAATTTTATTTAAAGGACAACTGGATTACAATTATCAACAAGAGAATGCAATTTCTGAAGAAACTGCGGGTGTGAATGCTCCATGCTGAATAGCTGACGCTACACTGCAATGCTCACTTTAAATGTCGAATAGTACAAGTAATGTATGAATGATGTAGAGTACTTTAAGGTTGTGTGAAAAGTTGATGCTACACTGTAGTGCTGGCGTAAATGTTTAGTAGAAGGTGAAGTATTAGGAATAGATGCTTTTCAAAAGTTGAATGATACTCGTAACGTTGAAGATTTGAAGGGCTGTTGAAAAGCTGACGCTACACTGCAATATTCTAGGTTTAAACACTAAATAACAATAACAATCATGTGGAATATTTCAAGGTTGTTTGAAAAGTGAACGCTTCACTGCAATGCTGGTGTAAATGTGTATGAATGTCATTGAAAAGGTGAATGATACCAATACTGTGCAATATTTCAAGGTTCTTGAAAAGCTGACGCTACACTGCGGACAATCTCATGATCCAGGATAAATACCTTTACAAAGGTTTTTGGTTGCTAGCACAAAAGCCATCATACAGAAGTGGCTACAGGCAAGACCCCCTTCAAATGAAATTCACTGTATGGAAAAAAAATCACCTTTTCTTTAAGACTGCGACTTGAACAATGTATGAAATATTGGAAAAAATGGACCGTATACACAAAGGATGTAACCTATTGACTGCTTAGTTGAAAAATCCAGCCTGTGGCCCTTTGCTGCATGTCACTCCCTCTCTCTCTCTCCCCCTTTCACACTTTTCTGTCCTATCCATTAAAGGCTAAAAATGCCCAAAAAATATCTAAAAGGTGCTTAGATGTCTTTTGGTCTCTTGGTGTCTTTTGGATAATTTTATGGACATTTCCATGAAATGTAGTCGCTGTAGTTCCTGTGCCTGTAGTTAGGCATGTTAGGTAACTTTGCAGACCTTGAAACCTACATTATGTTTATAATAATGGACTTAGGTCAGTTAAGGAGATCTGAGGAGACTGAAGGAAAAATTCACTCTCAGCACTTTGACAGATTTAAGAAAACAGCGACTGTACAACTATTCCTCGGCCTGCTTTGTTTGTTTGTCATGTTTTAATTTTCACACAGAACTCAGCAAAAAGCTGAATGTCTCACAGTGTAGGAGTCCTATAAAACAAACAGAAGTATTCTCAACATGTGTTTGTCCTTCACATGTACAGAGAAAGCAGTCATCATCACAAACATTTCCTTGTTTATATGAGAAGAAGCTCACTTTGTTTGAAATGAACAAGTTCAGGCACACTGCTCGCTGGTTGCTGTCAAAAGTCACTTCATGTACTTTACTAAAATAGCACAGAGGATGGATTTGTTCTCTATTGTCCAAGCTGGTCTTAAAATTAAATTTCCCTGTTGTGTTTTCACCTTATGAAAACAAAACAGGCTCAAAAGTATTATTAGCTATCACCATATAGCTCAATACTTTTGACCCTATATTGTTTCTGTATTCTTTAAGCAGACAGAATACTGCAGGAGCTG